GAAGAAACATTAGAGAGAAAATTCCAGACCAGACTTGTATATTTAAAGGAAAAAAAAGATGTTAGATGGACAAAATCAGATTGATTGATACCAGTGTGCAGAATTTCATCCAGTTACCTTTGTATTGAGCCCTGTAACTTGATTCCAGGTAAAGCATCCCTTCCAGAAAGGCAGCGTCTTAATTTTAAGCCACCAGAAATGGGGAGTGTGCCATTTCCCTTCGCTAGTTGTCCCATATTTTTAATCATTATTGGTGTCAGTTCTGGTTTGTCTGAATTTAACTTGCAGCCACTGTGGTGGTGGTTTATGCTGTTCGTTATTGGCTGTAGACCCTTTTAATACTCTTTCAAGTACTGTTAAAGTAAATTACCTATGGTAATCACATCAGCTTTCAGCTTTCTTTGTGATAAGCTATACAGATTCTATTTTTTCACTGATACTTATATTCTATACGTTTTATCTTTTCTGTGATATTTTTCCATAGCATTTCGGATCTACAGTAGCTTTTGCAAATGTTAATACTGTTTTGGATATAGTATTCTGTCATCAGCTGGATTAATGCTGTTAGATCATTTCCCTGTGCATATCCTTCATAACTGAAAAACAACAAATACTTTAAGTTGAATACTACAGGAATAATATTTGTGACTATCATTGGAAGGATCTCTGCCTCTATTTTTTCCAGAGTATCATCAGAAGATCAGGATTACCAGCAAAATGTCCATACAGAAATAACATACTACCTTCTGGGCTTTCTTGAATACAGGTAGCTCTGCCTAGTAACCCCATCACCAGAGTTGTAGTCCTCTGTTTATTTTACTGCTTTAGGATCACAAAAAGGACAGTAGTATAAAAACTAATTGCAGTGGCACACTTATTTATAGCTTTTTTTCCCTTTTTCTAGGAGTAATAAAATGAAAATCTGTTAATTGCGCATTATTACAAGTGTTTTGAATTCACTCTGGAGGTCTTAAATCTACATTCTATGCTTAATGAACTCCATCTTGACCTGCTCTGCTCCCACTAACAATAAAAGGTAGCGTGAACTCATTTTGGATCAGGAAATGAACACTTTATGCTAAAAGGTTATCAGTAATACTGCCAAGTCAACCACTGGCACAGTGTTTCCAGTTCTGAATTATAGATTCATAAATGTTGCAATTAACTGCTGTAAATTTTAAGTGGAATATTCTAAAGTTGTCAGTCAGCGGTTGTTAGGACAGTATATTGACCTTGGTTTTCCTCCCCAGACAGTATGTTTCATCATCATCTTTTATTGCTTAGTTTTGCTGAAGTAAATATAAAGCAACGAAACAAAGTAAATTTGTTCAGCAGAGGGAAGGAGGGGAGTTACTCAGAACTCAGTCTTAATTTATCTAGCTCGTCTACAAAGGTGCTTAAAATAGCGATTTAGTAACAAGCCCTTGCAGAATTGTGTTGGATTTTTCATTAACGGAGCCTTTTTGGTTCAACAAGAATTGTTACTGAAGAACTTCACCAGAAAATTCTGTAATTAAGCTTTTAGAAGTCTAAGCAGCTGCACTGTTCAATGGTAATTTTCTTGTGCTGGAAAGAAAAAGCTCTAAAGAAAACTCACCAGAAGGAAGATGGGACTAATTGCTACCCAGCAAACTCGCCAGTACCAGCCTGGGGTAAAGCCCAGCATTTCTTTCACATCATTGCAGAACTGGGTGATGCCTGTGGAGACAAGTAGGAGGAGAGTGGTGACAGCACATATAAGTTTTTCGTAAGTAGATGCACAACATTTTGTATGCACCACAAATAAATTCAGAATCCATCATGAAGGCCTGTTGTTCCTATAATTCTTAATAGAATTAAATCCTTAATTGTTCTGAGTTATAGCTCCTGTTACATTTAGATGTCACTGTACTCCTGCAGAAGCTCGGGAGTTTGGGTTAGCATTGTTTGTCAACGTGGCAGGAGACCTACCGTAGAACCAGGCCACAGCAACTGCTTCCAGAAACACGACTGTTAGGACAGCTGGACCAGTGGCGTATTCTTCAAACAGCTTTACCACATACGCGCCTCCCTAGAAAGGAGATCACATTATCAGTGAACCAAAGATCAGGGATGGAAAGCTTGTAATGCTGCTGTTTATTATTGCCTTCATCTGGGCCAGAGCGTTCACAGATGGGCAATTCGGTCAGTTCTGTTGCTTTGTGGCTGTTCTGCCAGTGACATCCTTGAGCGTGCTGCTGATCTGCTCGCTCTCTGTGATCATGTTTCACCAGTGGAGCTGCCATGCAGAAAAGCTAAAACTGAATCTAGGGGCAGTTCTAGCTGGATGTTAATGAACAGATGAGATTTGGCGGGGTTTGGTGGGATGGCTTTTTGCATGCCTTCTGTGATGGCATCGTCTTTCTCCAACCTGAGTCATAGTTACTGAGCAGGAAACAGATAGGGTGTTACTCTGCTTTCTTTCCGTTTGGGATCTGGAATCAGATGGAGGAGGAGAGCATTGTGTCTTGGAGAGGAACTAAGTCTCCCGGAGAGGGACTACGTCTCCTTTTACAGCAAATGCTTTAAAGGAGAAGGAAGGTGCACACAAATGAGCAAGTGGAGTGAAATGTGACAGGAAAGCCAAGTATTATTTCCTTGTCCCTTATGATCATTACACTCCTTATTCAGAATGTTGCCTGTTGTGAAAATGAAATCCCACAAGCTGCACAGGGACTATTTGGTGTGACTGATGATGATTTCTGGCCTGATTTGATGAGGAAGCTCCAGGAAATTAATTGCTAGAAGTTTTTGGCGAACAGAACAGTCAATTACAGCATTTTCCGGAAGATAATTTTTTGATCATTCTTTTTTTAATTCAAAATACATTTCAAATATTGCAAAAATTAAAATAACAATTTGTATTATTTTTAAACGTGGAGCTTTGGAGAACAAGAAGTAAACCACATACAAAATGTGGAAGGTTGTCCACGCACTGATTCAGCAGTTGGATCAGCAGCTGTGTCATTTGTGATGTGTAGCACATTAGAGTTTTGCTGAATTGCAATAGGATCATTTTGCAACACATTTCCTAGTGAGAGATACTGTTCACATTCATTCCAAATATAGATTTCTAATGCATAAAGAAACCAGGCTGAAGATTTAATCTCAGTTCTTGAAACTCACTTCAAAAAATACTACCCTCTCCCAGATGTCATTTGCAGGAACCTGCGAGTAAGGAAAGCTAAGAAATGGGTAAAATACTTACAAATGTCAGAGTTGCTAATGACCCCAAAAAGCAAACGATGGTCAGACCAAGGACAAACAATTCCCTGCGTTTGCTCCAGACGTGCGGGAATTCATCCAGTACTCCAGTGATCACTCCCTCTAGTCCTGCAAACTGGAAAGCATGGGAAAACCACTAAAGGAGCTATAAAACTATGAAACACTGGTGCTTTATTCTGCTTGTAGTGTTGGTGTGACTGTGTTTAGACAGTCTTTCTGCAGAACTTTTAAATTTTTGAGGGGATTTAGTCTTCCCGTATCTGTGGGAAGTGCCTGTCATCCAGAGGAAGTACTATATTACAAGTAGTAGGATGCTGGTAAGTGGTAGGTGGCTCAGTAGAACCAAGATTGTGAAATCAGTTGAGTTTCGCCTTCCTGGAAGGAGCTGATTCTCAATCTGCAAAAACAGGCTTACATGGGCAGTTCTTAGAACATCTCCTTTTCGCAGTGCTGTTGCGAAGGCCACCTCCGGTTCCCACCTTTTAAATCCAATTAGCGTAAAAAAAATCCAGAATTTAATAACAGCTTTGTAAGTTTACAAGTGCAAGAGAAGGAGCCTGGAAGGCTGCATTCAACCAAGAGTTTATGAAGGAAGTGCTTTGGCTGTGTTTCCAGGTCTGTTACTAATTGTCACAGTGTGACACTGACAAATCAGTTGATTTTATTTAGGCCTATTTAGTTCAAAATGGGAGTAATAGTTGCTGTCTTACAGAAGGCACATGGAGATGGCAGCCCTGCTTTAAAGCCTTTAGTGACCGTGCAGTATTTGTAATTCTGTTTCTCCTGATGGTTGCAGGGGTGAGGCCGTACACCCAGTATCTGAGATGATATCCTCTGTCTCGCATACTGTCTACTCACCGTGCTGTCCAGTCCCAGCGTGAGTAACATCAGGAAAAAGATGATGGCAAAGAAAGTGGAAGCAGGCATGTTTGCAATGGCCTCGGCATACGTAATGAAGAGAAGGCTGGGTCCTGATATTAGAACGGAGAATTAGGGATAATTTTTAGGCTGTTTCACTGTACCATGTTGTCTTGGAGGGGAAAACTTCTCCCCCCAGGCTATTTTGCAGTGTGCAGTTACCACCACGCCTGTGAAGCCGCATGCAGTATGTCTTCTATATGGTGTCTTTATGGAGTAATTTTTTAGCTGTACTGTATAACAGTGCCCTTATTGTAGATTCAGTCAGTATCCTGAATTATATACCAAATAATTTGCATAATTTGGGCTGTTCTCAACCTAGAAGATAATATACAAATATATTCTGTTTTAGAGGGGGTTTGAGAGACATGTACAAACAGTTAGCCTACCAGTGTCTTTGGCAACCTCTGACACATCTTCATTCCTCATCTCGGCCATGTATCCCAGCACAGTGAAAATGACGAATCCAGACACAAAACTGGTCACACAGTTCACGGTACTGGTAACCAGAGCATCTCTGCAACAGAAGACCTAACTCATATCAGGATAGTTTACTACCAGATGGAATAAGTTACTGATCTGGATAGACTCCTACAAAAACTAGGGTAATTCAATGAAAAGAACAAGCAGCTGATTTGAAAGAAAGAAAAAAACCGCCACAACTACTTTTTCTTCTTCATCTTCAAAGAGATGCTGGAACATTAGTCTGACACTGGATTGAATGCTGGATGTATATTGGTGTTTTTAAGAAAGAAACAGGAATTACTATAGGAATATTAAAGAACTGACAGTTTATAAGTTAGAAATAGAATTTCTTAAGAACAGGGAAACAACTGTAAATTGCCTTTCAGCTCAAGACTCTAAAATCATTTCCTAACTGACTGCTGAGATGAAATAATTATAATGTGATTGTTTGGCAGGGCTTTAGTCTTGTGGCAGGTTTACATCTTAGGCCCCTTGCTGGAACTGGTAGAGATTATCTCTCTTTAGGGCAGGCACAACAGAGAAGAGATGTTTTGGATTGCAGGTTCTTTCAGTAAGGTCTTTTGTTCTGTTACACTTCTGTCTGATTTGTACGTACACAGGTCTGACAATACAGTGCCTTTCACCAGCACTGTGTTTCTTTTTGGTAAATGCCCAGTTACTTTTCTTAACTCAATTTTCACATAAAATAAGGTAGAACTCACTGGTAGCAGTTGTTATGGAATCTGTTGTAGCTGGCATAAGCCAATAGGACCCCGAAACCTGGACCAAGGGAGAAAAAAATCTGAGCTGCTGCATCCACCCAAACCTGAAAAATATTGAAGATCAAGAAAAAAATTAAATGGATCGAATTAGGCTGGCATATTTAGACTATCACGTAGCCCTACAAAACCACTAGTCTGGCTATATTCTAGTCCTGGTCTAACAGACATTTTGTTAAGAGAGCATGTTGAAATGTGAATATTCATTGTAGATCTGTGCGAGTTGCAGATATTCACTGTAATTTTAGTGCCTGTGCTGCGCTTATTGTATCTCTTTACACCAAGTACTCACTGGCAGTTTCTCTTGTGACAGCATCTTAGATTAATTCACAGCGATTTACCTGTAATCAGTTTAACACAACTTCTGTTACGTATGGAGAGCATATTCATGATTTTGCAGTGGGCTTGGCCCATCTTCTTCCAAACCACGTGTGCTATGGAATAGTCCTATGTTCAGCTGGGTGTCCTCCAGACTAAGCAGGAGATGATCACTGCTCAGATTTTTCTTAGACTTAATGGAAATACGTAACAGTGTGGATGCAGTTCTAGCCCTTAGGACTCAATTTAGCTTTGTTGTAGCCATGACAGATGCAAGTGTGATGATCTTGTTATGAAAAGCCTGTTGTACTTGAAAAGTGGCCACAGCCTTAGTGAGTAGTGTTCCTAAAGTACAGTATCAGTTCTCTTTCTGAAGGTGAAAGTCCTCGTTCATTTATCCTCTTTTGATTGAAACATGGAGTTCATTACAACTCATTTCTAGTATTCTCTTCCATCGTGTGAGGCCATCCTGTATCATCCACAGACAGAGCTCTGTCATCGTCCAGCACACAGATTGCAATCTGCTGTCCTCACTTCAGATACATCCAATACAATATCAATGCCCTTTATTGCTTTTTCAGAAGATGGGGTCCCTTATTGGAGATGCTGCTTTATCAGAGACTGGTGTCTTTTCATTTCCTTTTCATTCAAAACTCCATATCAGCTGGGCAGCAGCAGACTTGCAAACATTAGAATTTTTAATCTTTGTAGTATTTATTGCTTTGGGGTTTTTCTGTCACCCTCCTCACTAGACACTTTCATAGGCAGTAAAGTAAGAGCAGCCTTGAGCCTGATGGACTACCTGTCATCCACGGAGTTCAAAGCTGAATCAGATACTGGAATGCCTGGGCTTTGTGGGTTAGCTCAGTCTTGTCCTCATTCCTCCTTTCTTTTCAAATCCTGGTGGTGTATGCAAGCATAACCGATTTATTCCTTCTTCACATGCTCTTGCATGCATTACAGAGTCATGGTTTAGTTGGTGACTACAGAGTCTCCTTGGGCTTCCAAAGCACGTCACAAGACAGAGATCTGAAGTTTCAACTCTAGTAACCTGCGCTATTTAAATATGGGCAACTGCGGACACTGTTGGGTTGTGGAAAAGCCTGCCCAAGTGTGTAATGATCCCCTCACAGCCTAAAAACCTGCAGCTAAACCAGTTGTTAGGGCTTAGTAAATTTAGTTTGCTCAGTGTGATTGTCACAGGTAAAGGTTTTTGTGAAAGTGTAACAACAAATATATCTTATCACTCAATGTCAGGCTGTTCACCATTTTGCTGGGAAAAATATTGGTCACTTGTTTTCTTTCTAATCATATCACTAATTCTATTCAAGCTCTGTATGGGAACCCTACTATTAGTTCAAGCTAAATTGATGGTGGACTTTAATCTTTAAAAAAATCTTTGTAATTATGGAAAAAATAGCATGACTGTTTAAACAAGAGCATGAAGTCAGGCTTGTAAGTCCACCCTAAGACATCTGTTTAATCATGCTCTGTGTTGAAAATAGACGTTGAAGTATATACATGCTGAGAGGCTAAAAGTAAATCTCTACTGTTTTGTAATGGTTTTTACCTCAGTGGCCAGGAGTTTCTGCCAGTCAGGTTTCAAGTAGTAGAGGACACCTCTCCAAGCCCCAGGCAATGTTGCACCTCTCACTAGCAGGATGAAGAGTATGATGTAAGGGAATGTGGCAGTCACCCATACCACCTGTGAGGGACAACAGTAAGATAGCATTTGCCATGGGTAGAAAGTTAACAGGTGATAATGAGTTATTATAGCTCTTAGCATTTATAACATCTTGTTGTGAACTTCTCAGAAGGTCTGTAAACAGGCAGCTTGCACATACATACCCATGCTTTCTCTTAGCAGGGTTGTTCTTGTCCAGAGAACAGTGGTATAACTTACTGTTGTTACGTATTACTTGGATAACAGTAGCAGTCACTCTACAGTAAGTGCTTCCCAAATACATGAGCCTATAATCCCTGTCATGAAGACAATCTGAGATAATTCTCTGTCAAGTTAATTTGCTCCTTTAGAACTGCTGCTAGACTATAATGTACAAAGTTGATTTGTCTTGCTTTTGCATTCACCTTGCCAGATGTTTTGACCCCTTTCCAGATGCTGAAGTATACAATGGTGAAGATTAACAATAAACAGAGGGTCAATTGCCAGCTAATGCCCCCCAGGTCATCCAGCCCATTGGACCTGTGCACCTGTAGAACTTGGCGGCTGAAAGAGGAAAGAAAAACACAGTATAGATTTTTGTTTTTCTAACAAATACTTATGTTAAGTATGCTTTGAACAGTCCCATACTGTGGTCTGAGCATTATAAGTAGTCTTGAGGCCTTGATAAGTAGCCTTCAAAGTCATGTTCTTTTGGATTTTTTTTTTTTTAATCAAAAGCTTAATATTAATGGTACACCAGTGATGATAAATGATAAGTGATGACAGATGACAATGTTTGGGAACCTCTGATCTCAAATAGAGTACCCTCCCATACACCCTAAGCTTACATACTACAAGTATTCTGTTATTTTAATAGTTCAAAAAAGGATACCATTAATAAACAGCCCTGCTCTCCCTCCAGAGAAAAGCTTGCTGCATGTTCCACCATTCTGTCTAATATTACTGTCCTCACTTACATGCACTTACGTATAAAATTCTTCTGCGGGAGAGATGGAGTGCAGGGACCAGCTGATGTTGTCCTTGCTGAAGTAGTTAGTGCAGTTGCCTGTGTTCCAAGCATTTGTGCAGCTAGTCCATGGCAGCTCCGCCGTGAAGGAGGATACGAGGTAGTAAAAGGCCCAAGCCATAATGGTGTTGTAGTAGGAGGCTACATAAAGATCTATTATACAGATGGCAAAGCCAATTCCTAGTAAGGCAGAAAATAATTACATAAAGTGAGTGTAAGTTTTAGGCCGAAAAAAAAAAAGGAAGGAGTTGGTTATCACATGAAGTACAATCAAGACAGTAACTGTCTAAGGCAGCTCTGTAGGAGGTACACATGCCCTCGCAAGTGTTTACAACACTGGAATTTCTTGTGGCTTTGGAAACACTCAGGCTCCAATTCCAAAAAAGCATCCTTAATCACGACAGAACATGCTTATATAGATTTTTTTCATCTGTTCCTAAATTCCTGGAATTTAGAAATAGATGTCTTGCAGTCTCAGGAAATAAAAAAGATAAGACCAGAGCTGTAACACTGGGAGCAAGAGTAAACGAGCATAGAGACCAGGTCCTTGACTCCATGGTAGGACAGCAATGGGCAGACTAGGCTGAAGATGGGGAATCATCTCTTTGTAATATCTTTGTAATAGAAATAGTAGATCTTTATTTTTTTCTGGTTTTAATTTTGCCTTGGATTCAGTAATGTTGCACTTACTTTATTAATTACATTTTTTGTTTATTTTTTTATGTTTTCAGGCTTGGGCCAGAGCAGGTAGACTAGCTTCTATCTAATCAATTTGGGAGTTGCATGTATATGAGAGTACACACACAAATCTGCAGGTGTACATAAAGTTTTATGAAAGCTTTCTTTGTAAAGCCAAAATCTTGTGTAGAACAAGCCTTACTTTATGAGATTTTTTTTTTAGAAATTGCATCTTTACAGGAAAATCTTCCACTTATTCAGAAAGTTCCTAGTAATTTCCCATTTCCCTTCTTTACCTTTGAATATAGGACATATTTTTCTCCAGATTGAGATACACCCATTCCTGTGGTACTGTCCTAGAGCTAGTTCCATATAGAAGAGAGGAATCCCTCCAAAGATGGCCATAATTGTGTAAGGAATGAGGAATGCTCCTGCAAGAGAGAAAGCAAATGTTTGTAACTCTTCATAGGACTTCTCCTCCAACAGTACCAGCACTCCATAAACAACGCTTCTTTTTATCCCACAGGGAAAATGCATATCCCCTCCCTAGCCAGTGTGCCACGCTGAATTACCATGGGATTTCTTGTAAGAGTAACTACTTAGCAGTGTGACTAAGCAGCAACACTCAGGCCAAACTTCTCACATTTCTGTAACAAGTGTACGTAGGATTCACCACGACTGTACTGGCTACAATGGATACAATTGTGAAATGGGCTACAGATAAAATAATTAATTTCTTCAGTAAAATGCCTTTGTTACATCAGGGACACAAAAGTTCTTTCCAAGATCTCCTTGGTTAGATTTATGTTTTAGCTGATAGTGTCAATGGGTCTAAGGCCTAGCATTCCTGATGAGCTGGTTTTGACATGTTGGTTTATCTGATTTTAAAATACTCCTTGGGACAGGGATTGAGTCTTTTCTCTTAGAAGGTGGTTCTGCACCTGAATGGCTCTCAGCTTCTAGTTGTGCTGATTTTTTAGATCTTGCTAAATAGTTTTTCTTCCATCTTAATATGTCTAGTTAGCCTATTGCAATATTTAGGTTTTCCAGTCTGCTTGACAAGTAAGTACTTTCCCCTTGGTCATTTGTTATATATGATATGAAAATAAGGCATTAAATCACCCAGCTCAGCATTAAGGAACAGCATACACAACTAGTCACTGACCTCCTCCGTTTTGATAGCATATATAAGGAAATCTCCACACATTTCCCAGATCCACTGCATATCCAATGACAGAGAGTAGAAAGTCAATTTTTTTACTCCAGGTCTCTCTGTCTTCTAGCTCCATTAGCTGCTGCTGGCCTTCTGCTCCGCAGGTGGTAGAAGTGGTGGTGGTGGTGGCGGCTGCTGGGGCAGTGCACGGGGCATCTTCCATCTCTCCTATGCCATTGCAGGGAACAGAGCTCTGAACCCCTGAGTAACCGTTCGAGATCTGAGCCGCCTCTCCTTTATCTCCCTGGCTGGGATGGACTTTATTGCCATCCTCCACTAGCCGTAGGGCAGATTTAGGGTTCCTGACCACAAGTCCGTTCTCTTTACAGTCTCCCCCTTCATTACAGTCTGAGACATCTTTCTTGGAAGTCAGTGGCTCAGTCTCATTAGTTGTTCTTTTTTTTTCCATTTTTTCCGAGATTTGTTCTGATCACTTGCAGACAGACAGCAGCACAGAGTCCCCTTGTGGCTTGTCTTCCCACACTTTTATTCCTAGCGTATTCCCAGTACTTCTAGAATTCCTCTTCCATATTTAAATCCATCAGATTGAAGGCACAAACACCATCTAAGAAATGACAAATAGTTAAAAACCCATTACAGGGCTTACTGATGCTGGTAACTTTCAAGTTACAACTGACAGATTCTGTGATTGAAATACTTTTGGAAGTAATTAACCATCACCGCATGCAATGTGAATCATTTAGCAGATAATCCATTCCGGATTTTGTACAGAGAAAGGAAGGAAGCAATCATCCTCCTCTACAGCAGAAGTCGGTGTACCTGGCTTACAGCCTCTCAGGCAGATTTGCTGGACTTTGTGCACTGTTGGACAACTCACAGGCAGTCACAGTCCTGCTATCTTCTGGCACCACGTTGTCTGAACACTGGTTTCACACCTAGGGAGGTTGTGGGACAAGTTCGCAGTTTTCCCAGTTTGCAAAAATGAGGGCAGAATTTAGTGTGGCTTGTATTTTCATTTTCCTGAGTTCATCCTGTGACATCTACTGGCAATTTCTAGATTCACCCATTGTGATGGGAAAAGAATTAATTAAATGAATATGAGGTAAAAATGGATATATAAATTACATTTCATGACCACCTTTCTTCAGAAATCCCACAGTGTCTGCAGACCTAGAAGACTTAAACAAAAGTTTAGGAAAGTATTTAAGTCTCAGTGGTTTTGCATCTACTAACTTTTGAGACTCAGTCAACACTAATAACAAGGAAAATCATATCAGGAAACTTCAATTTGATTGTTTTGAATCAGTAAGAACTAATATGTGGGTCTAAAGGAGAAAACTTGTCCCCAGGTTTATTTAACTCCTTGGAGAAATAAAGGTATCTTTCGTTCTGTTTGGATCTCCCAACACTGTGGGTCCAGCCCCGGGAAAGGTCGTGGGCACAACTCCCGTGCTGCTGTCCGCCGCCAGCAAAAAAACAGGCACTGGGAGAATCCCTGGCTTTGCCTGCCCTCTCATATTAACCCAGGGGAAATAAACCATCCCGAAATTGAAAACAAAAAATATAAAACAACTTTCCTTCAGAACAAAAAGAACAGAAAAAGAATTGTGGTTCAGTGGGTCATGTTGTTTTCTGCTCATTTGTTCAGCTAATGTAAATGCCCAGTTGTCTTTACTCCACAAAATGCTGAAATAGGAGCTGATCCTCTGTGCTGTAGATTCCCTGGGGTACTGACCTTGCTTTATAGCTAGTAAAGTGCTACACAATCCACACGATGCCACCACAGAGTAAATTATTATAATTACATCTAATTTTTCCTTTTTGAAGCATTTTACCATAGTAAATATAATTGTCACATCCTAACAGAAGAATAAGCATTATTTCACTTTTAACTGTTGGAAAAACAAAAGCAGAAAGGGGATATCATTGCTAGAATTTGCTCACTGCCAGAGCTATTAAAACTCAGGTTTTTCCAAGCTTTCAGCCTTGTGCAACGACAGTTTGTTAAACCTCTTCCTGAACATTTACCAGCGCAAGCAGAAAGAGAAGGAAAGTTATTGAGCTGCAGAGCAAACAGGAGGATGTTCTCGAGATAAAAGTCTCGTGAAGGTGTTGTTTATAACTTTCAGAAATCTCTAGTTCTTCAGGCTTACATTCTGTCTTTACCCAGATAATGTTCTTTTCATTGTATAGCAAGCAGTGCATCATTAATGCTGAATTCTTACAAGAGCAGTACTTTGCTACCATTAGTTAATCATCCACAGAGACTGAAACACCTTCAAAGCTGCAGCGAAAAATACTATGGCAAAGAACAGGAGTTTCTGCTTTACCTGCAGGACTATAGAACTTGAGTGTCTTTGGAGTCTGAAACCTTCCAAATGTCCCAAAAGAGCTTATGTAGATGAAAACAGTCCAACCACCACTGGTGGCAACATAAAAATCCTAGGAAAGGCCATAGCCAATCCCTTCCTTGTATAGAGCACGGTAAATATAAGGTAGGTATATAGCAAAGTAACCTGAGCCCTTCCGGACTTTACACCTCTTACTCATACATGGGAAAGCAGTAAAGGATGTTGATTGAACTGCATTATCTCATGAAACTGAATTTTCCATACCTGAGATTTAGACACTTACTGTATTTGTAAAACACTTTCTTTCTGCACATAGATACTTCTTGGCACTTTCTTTGCTGAAGAGAGGTCGTTGAATATATTGTTGATTTCCTAGATCTGTGACAATCAAGATTGTTATCTTACCCAGAGCTAAGCTCCTTCTGGTCTTCTGCAGACCACAGCAAAGAAATATCACATTATTTGAAATATTATTGCAGAATTTTCAGTAGTTTGAGCTGCACATATGCAAAATGGCTTGTGAACTTTCAGGGGCTTCGGCTGGAATTTGAACTATTCTTTCTGAAAGAGAATTACAGTTTGTCAGCTACCCTGGGAAATCTCTGGAGTGACGGACTCTACAGCTATGCCGCGGTGTTCACAGCGGCATAGTTGGCACACAAAAACAGAACAGTTACAGAAACAGATTTCATTATGCTGTAAAAAACTGTGGGAGAATGTACTTTTTTCCCCCTCTTGTTGCAATTCAAGGAAAAAAAAAAAAAGCATCTGAAGGAGTTGTAAGTGCTACAAACAGTCTAAGCAGCTGCAGAACTAGAGCTCTTGGGGTTGAGAAGTACGCTAGGACCACTAGAAGATATCTAGGAAGAAATTAGGCTAATAGTGAAGGATTTTGCCCATGTCAGGCTCCATTCCATCTCTCTGTGCACTGATCTCTCAGTAGTTACAGGTGCTAGAATGATGATAGTGAATGATACAAGAAATGGCAGTTTATTACCCATTTTCAATCTGAGCTGTTGCAAAGGTTGCTCTTACATAAATACACATTGGCTTCTTATCACCAACAGAATTAACTACAGAGGAAAAAGAAAAAAAGAGAGAGACAGCTGTGCCCTCATTTTGTTTTGATCTGTATTTTGTAGATGTGACTTTGCTCCTTTGAGCGGCCCTAAGCATCTGCACCTTTTCTGATAGCTCTGCACAGAGATTTTTCTAAAGGGCTGTTCTCCTCTCCGTAATACTGTGTTGTCCAGGAGCACGGGAAAGGTGCCATGCTGCCAGCCCTGTGACTCACACTCCTCTGTCGCAAAGAGTGATGAAAGAGGAGTCGCCCTGTGACAGCAACGTGTCCTCCACAACTATTCCCTGCTCCTCCACAACTATTCCCTGCTTTGCTTGTTCATCAAAAACACTAAGGTGGATAAATGAAGACGTATTTCTACGCGCTTGGCTGAAGCCACCAACACAGTTCACGTGCGCTGAATATGAATTAAATTATAATTTTTGGTTACTCCCACACAGAGCTAAACCTGAACCAGCACTGTAGATGGAAAAGCCCTGTCTCTCCCTTGATGCACAAAACCGACTCCTTTGCCTCGGTCAGAGCAACCTAAAGGAGCATCCCCATCCTGGGGTCTGGTTCCTTGCCCAGCAGGGAGCTGCACCGTGGGTATATCATCGCTGTGTTTATTTCCTGAGGTACGCGGAGACCTCTCGTGGCAGTGTGGGAATCCCTTTCCTTTAATGCTCCCACCAAGTAGTAAACCAAATCTTTCCAACACTTTAAAACACAATGATTTTCCTGTTCTCTGTACTTTTTTAAAGGATAAAATTGACTTTTAATGTGTCTAGGAGATTAAAACAATTAGGTTGAGGTGCAGCAAATACCAGATGCTTAAAGGGAGGCAAATCTTCGTGCCTTAAGTCACCTGCAGAATACTTCATTTGAGGTGGGGTAGCACTGACTTCCTGAATTCCTCAGCACAAGGCTTGTTCAGCCGCACTCTGCGTGACTACAACAGTCATTAATCTTCTCCAAGTGATCAAATACATTTTACCTCGCACAGCTGCAAAGTCTGTATATTTGCATATATTTCACTTCATACAAACTATCTTCATTTTTCATGTGCTGATTTTATAAAGCAATGCTTGCTGGAGTAGCAGCCTCTTGCTGGGTTGCAGCTCCGTTCCTGTAGCAAAACTCACCGCCATCGCTCGCACTGCTCCTCCGTCTGCTTCTGTCCATTCACTTGCTACCACTTGCAAAGAATTAGAGGACTTTGAACTCTAAGACAAAAAGTCAGCCTACACTCTTGGCAAACAGAATCAAACGTTAAGATGATTTCTAACAACTTGACCTAAATCTCACTTTTAACACAGAGTATTTAAGATTGTTAAAATTATGTAGCTGCTTGACTGCGTATCACACCTTGCAATAAAGATGCAGTTCACACAGGCAGCTCTATGTAAATGGAAAGAGTCCAAGGAAATTGCATTTATCTAAAAAACGAAGCAAGAAGTTTGTCTGACGAGATAGAAATCACATATCCCACACAGGAAGAGGCTGTGTTATTTATCTGTAGATGCTGTTCTCACCTCTGAGCCACAATATCAACCATGACCTGCAACAGCACGGACCTGGGTGTTTCCCAGGTGGACTCTGATAATTATAAATATAGCAGTAAACGTTTCTGGTCTTCACCCACACCTCCTCATGCAGTCCTAGTTGGTCTTTTTGCACAGGAGGGGAGGTACGTGACCTGGATGACAGCGAGAACCTCGTAAAGATTATTCCTTTTGACAGGCTTTTGTGGGCTAGTGAGTTCCTGTTCCGCTGCACGCGTGGTGTGAAGGAGCATGGGGGCTTCAGATTTTTCCTCTGATTCTGCATGGGCCAGGAGTAACTCTTTAATAAAAGTTATTACGGGATAGCTCAGATGCTCCCATACTGCGAGGAGTTGTTAGAAAATAAATATTTCAGCCAATTAAACCTTGAAATGAGATTGCAGCAGATTATGATTAATGTTACCTGGTGTTTGTCACAGATAAGTCATATTTAGAGTTCATAACTCAAAAATTTAATGCCTTTTGCTTTTCAGTGTGTTCACACAT